ACGAGGCAGGTCATCAACTCATATTTACCGCCAAGGTAAGCCAGCCGACAGTGCATGAGCAGTTGTTTCGTGTGGTTCCAAGTTTAACACTACCACGCAGTGTACGTCTCTCGTAGCTCGATGGCAACGTCCGTGCTGACCCTGGAGCAGCTCCCGGCGGACGTGATCGTGATGGTGCTGCAGTACCTGCCGGTGAAGGACGTTTTCGACTGCCGCCTTGTGTGCAAGAGGCTCTGCGACCTGGCCCTGCACTGGGACGTCTGGCGCCACCGATCGCTCGAGGACGACGCCCCCCATGCCGGCGCGGTACTGCGCCTGGCCCCGTGCCTCAACAAGCTTCAAGTCAAGGGCCGTGTCCCGACCACGACCACGGCGGCGACCACGACCAGGTGCGCCGTGGCGAGTTTGGAACTGTATTCGGATACTGGAGCGGTAATTAACGCCGCAGAGTACGCCTTGGCCGTGCGCAACCAGGAACTCCTTGGACGCCTAAGAAAACTTGAGCTTAACACCGATTTGAGGCCTGCGAGCGACGTGCTGGTAAAGGCGGTCGCAATGTGTTCTAACCTCGAGTCGCTTGAAATCTTTGACGACCTACCCGATGTCAGCCACACCGTTGTTCACGGGCCACCCAGGCCCTCGCTAACAAATTTTCGGTGCTCGGTCGATAAGAACTCAGCATCCTTCGCGCACATCATACTCGCCTTGCACGCGGCAACCTTGGAGCAGGTGAGCATCAGCGCTGTCGACGATTTTGCGGAGACGAGGATTCCTGAACTGTTGGTCAACCTGCCTCGACTCCGCAGCCTGCGATACGGCCTTTCTCTGTGCGGTCTGAACGTCGTAGTAGAGTGTAAGACACTCAGAGAGGTGAGCATATATGTCGATTCGGAGCTAGAAAACATCGACGTTCTTTCTGATTTCCTCCGCCGAGCCAACCAACTGCGTCGCGTCCACCTGGATTGCGGCTGGGTCGACGAAGACTCCCACCCCGAGGTCGGCGCGGTGCTAGTCAGGGCCCTGACCTGGTCCGGGCGGTCCCACTCCCACCTGGAGTGGCTGGCCCTCGAAGGGGTCACGGACGTACGGCCGCTGCTCCGCGCACTGCCCTCGCTGCCCGCCCTGCGCCACCTGGACCTGGACGCTGCGCCCGCAGACGAGCTGCTCAAGAGCATCACCCCCGTCACGGCCCCGGCACTGAGGAGCCTGGGAGTTGTGGCGCGGGAGGAAGCATGTCCCCACGCCTGGATACACGGGGCCGCCGTCAAGGCGACGCTCGCGGAGAACCCCTCGCTTCATATACAGCTCTGGTGCCTCCGTAATATCAAGAAGTGCGAAACCCAGGATTGTGGGGCATGCGTGACAGGCTGCCATAGAGAAGTCAGGTGGGGCGGTGGGGAAAAAATAGGCCTCTACTCGCATGACCCTGACAAGTGTCCCTCACCGGGTGTTCACACTGATGACGCCACCGACTGGCTAAGGTCCTATTTCCACCGTTATGAAGTCGCGTGTACGTGTACGTGGTATCATATTTGACGCATTTCTACATTTGGTTTTCTCTGTTTTCTACTTTAAAATTGTTCCCAGTCATGTTGATTAAAGGGTGAATAAACTACCATCAAGTTCATTTGTTTTACTTCTTTGTCCACTTGTTCCTCGTGCTCATACTCGGGCCGCCCTCGCATCTCACCGCCGCCTCAACGAAACGCTTCACAGGGGACGATTCAACTCCAGAAACCAAGCCGACGCAGCGGCTGCAGTCCGTGATGTTTGTGGGCTGCAGCCCTCCACTAAGTTGGAGGGCCTTCTGACTCTGATCCTGTTAGGGGGCGGAGCCGCGCATTCATCTGGGCGAAAATGTTTGTTCGTTAAAGACTCGGTCACGCCGCGCATTTCCGTCAACGCTGTCGCGGTCCGCGACTCGCGGGGCTCCGGTAGTGATATGCCTGCTGTCTCTCTCCGGGAAGGGGGGGGGGGTGTAATGTAGATAGGTGGCGGCAAGCGGGCGAGAGTAGGAGAAGGCAGATCCTTCGCGCCACTCCGTTGGTCGTTTGGAAACGTGCTGTGGGCTCGCCGGACCTGGTATCAGGGTAGAGAGACTATGAGGAGCCATAACCCCCTACAACTAACCCCAACCCAAAAGAACAAAGTAGTGGATAAGTGCAGCCACAAGTTGCCACTACACCTGTTATTCCGGGCCTGGTTTTGTTGTGGCTGCCCTCCTGAGCGGTATAGTCAGGTCGGGGGACCCATTCGTAGGGCCCAGAGTGCAGGGCAGGGACAGGGCACACACCTCGATTCACATCGTTGTTTTTGCGGTGCGACAGTTGTCTCTGGAAACCCAATTGTGTACACTGTGGATCCGGTCTGCTCACTGCTAGTCATCCTGACAATTTTTGGACAGTCCCCTAAAGACTGTCTCTACCAAAGCGCAAAGTATCCTCACTCTCTATATAGCACAGAGCGGGCCCTCGAGTGTTTAGCTGACCGCTTGATTTTAACTTCACGAAGGAAGGCTAAGTCCACAGAGAGGCTTTGAGGATATGCTGCGTGAAGGCAGTGAAGGTTTTAACTTCACGAAGGAAGGCTAAGTCCACAGAGAGGCTTTGAGGATATGCTGCGTGAAGGCAGTGAAGGATCCGACAGATCTGTCCTTGGAGTGTCGCCCCCTCTCCTTAAGATCCTCCCTGGACTTTTCCTGCCGCAGTCCGTGTTGTCCTGACTCTGACGCCTCGATGACCATTGTCTGTGCAGGGTACGTCGCTCCCATCGCAGTCGCAGTGTGCCCCGCCTGGTCCCAAGATAGTCCGCTCCACGAGGCAGGCCTGCATCCCATCTCACATTCACCGCCCAGGTAAGCCAGCCGACAGTGCATACAAAAGCAGAGTAGTTGCGCGAGGCTTGAAGTTTCGCACCATCACGCAGTTCACGCCTCTCGTGGCTCGATGGCAACTTCCGTGCTGACCCTGGCGAAGCTCCCGGACGACGTGATCGTGATGGTGCTGCAGTACCTGCCGGTAGAGTACGTCCTCGCTTGCCGCCTCGTGTGCAAGCGGCTCTGCGACCTGGCTTTCCACTGGGACGTCTGGCGCCACCGATCGCTCAAGGACGACGACTACTACGCGGGCGCAGTGCTGCACCTGGCCCCGTGCCTCGACACGCTGACAGTCACGGGCCTAGTCCCGACCTTGGCCGTGACCACGACCAGTTGCGCCGTGGCGAGTTTGGAACTGCTTTTGGATTACGCGTCGGCCACCACTGCCGTAGAGTACGCGTTGGCCTTGCGGAACCAGGAGTCCCTCGGGCGCCTCAGGAAACTTTATCTTGACGGGCTGGAATACTATTCGACGCCTGGAAAAGACGTGCTGGTGAGGACGGTAGCGAAGTGTTCTAACCTTGAGTCGCTCGAAGTCAACGGCGACCTGCCCCTTGTCAGCCACCCCGTCGTTAACGGCCCGCCCAAGCCCTCGCTCACTAATTTTCGGTGCGCGGTCAATGAGAACTCAGCATCCTTTGTGAACACCATTCTGGCTGCGCACGCGGCAACCTTGGAGCACGTAAATCTCGGCGCAGGTT